AGACTCGAGCCAAAATATACCAAAACAAGGAATGCTGACTGATGACATAATGCTACAAGTTCCTGAATAAATGGGACTAGTTAACATTACAAACGATTATATAAGCAAAAATTTGCTTTTCCATGACACATTTCCTCAACAGCTCAAGTTAAATAATACAGAAATGGTAAATAATTTCTTAAACAAAACTGTATAACACATATATTGAAGAAAGCTAAAAATAGAAAGGTATTACAATATGTATATGAGAACATAAGGTGTAGCAACGTTTACAGGTTAAACAATTAAGTCAAATAATTATTATACAGATTTCTTGAAAACAACTATTATCTTATTCACAGAAACCAAATGAAACATTTTCCTCTTAGCTGTGATGCAAGTCAGTCAAATTCTTGGAATAAATAAAGTTGTTTGTGCCTGGAAGGTCCTTTAGACTATTTTGCTTTTGACGTTTATTCGTCATCAATCTGCATGTATGTCTTACGTCCACTATGTGGATTTTTTTAAGTCTATAAATCTGCCGCGTACCAACCAAGTAACTAACAATTAAAAATTCAAAGTGTTGACTAATTAGAAAAAGCCTTCTTTGTTGCAAGAATTGTACTACTACTAACAGATAAAACATACTCTATTTTGCAGCAACAAAAACAAGCATAGTCTCCATTACTACTTCGACAACTGGCGAACGAGGATGCGAATTCTTCGCTGCAAGTGGAAATTGATGAAATATACCAATTACAGATGAAACATACGCCTACTTCATCTTGCAGTATCCTTAGTTATTTCAACAATTGACAAACGAGGATGTGCATTCTTTACTGCAAGTAAAAGTCGATAAAGCAACACAAACGATAACAGCAGATGAAACATTCACGTACTTCAACTTGCAACAACGAAACCACGCACAGTCTCCTTGACTACATTAGGTACTTTAACGGTCGAAGATGCGCATTCTTCACTGCATGTTGAAATCGATGAAGCAGAACTAAGAGCAGATGAAGCATTTGCTCGCTCCATCTTGCAGTAACAAAAACACGCATGACATTTTTTTATTACTTTGACAACTGACAGAAGAATGCACTTTCTTCGATGGGAACTGAAATCGGTAAAACAATAGTAATAGCGGATGAAACATCCTCTGCTAACTTAATGTGGCAACGGAGTTCTATTGACTATACCGACGAAAAATAAGGATACTCCTCTTTTGCTACAAGCAGAAATCTGTCACCAATACCTACTAAAAGCAGATGAAACATTCACATGCTTCATCTTGCATCAGCAATGATACCACGCTTGATCACCTTCATTATTTACTTTAATGAATAGTTAACGAACGCGGGATATGATTCGTTTGCTGCAAGTGGAAATTGATGAAACATAGTTACTAATAACAGATGAAACATACGATTACTTCATTTTTCGGCTATAAAAACACGCACAGTCTCGTTAGTCTCGTTTATTCTTTCCTGTAAGTAGAATTCGTTGAAACAATACCAACAACAAGAGCAGATGAAGCACTCATCTACCTCAATTTGCAGCAACGAAACCACGCCTAGTCTCCTTGACTACAGTAAGTACTTCAACAGTTGTCGACGAGGTGCGCATTCTTCACTGCAAGTTGAAATCGATGAAGCAATACCAAGAGCAGATGAAGCATTCGTTCGCTTCATCTTACAGTAACAAAAACACGCATAACATTTTTTTATTATTTTGACAGAAGAATGCACTTTCTTCGATGGGAACTGAAATCGATAAAACAATAGTAATAGCGGATGAAACATCCTCTGCTATCTTAAAGCAGCAACGGAGTTCTATTGACTACACCGACGAGAAATAAGGATGCTCCTTTTTTGCTACAAGCAGAAATCTGTCAACAATACCTACTAAAAGCAGATAAAACATTCACATGCTTCATCTTGCATCAGCAATGATACCACGCTTGGTCAACTTCATTATTTACTTTAATGAATAATTTACGTACGAAAGATATGATTCGTTTGCTGCAAGTTGAAATCGATGAAACACAGATACTAATAACAGATGAAACATACGATTACTTCATTTTTCGGCTATAAAAACACGCACAGTCTCGTTAGTCTCGTTGATCCTTTGCTGTATGTAGAAGTCGATGAAACAATACCAACAATAAGAGCAGATGAAGCACTCATCTATCTCAATTTGCAATAGTCTCCTCAACTACATTAGATACTTCAACAATTATCGGCGAGGATACGCATTCTCCGCTGCAAGTTGAAATCGATGAAGCAATACTAAGAGCAGATGAAGCATTTGCTCGTTCATCTTGCAGCAATAAAGCCACGCTCGGTCACTTTGATTATACTACTTTAATAAATAAGTGAAGAACGAGATAGACGCATTGTTTGCTGGAAGTGGAAATCGATGAAACATAGATACTAATAACAGATGAAACATACAACTACTTTATTTTACAGCAATAAAAACACGCATAGTCTTCTTGATTCTTTGCTGCAGGTGGAAGTCGAAGAAATAATACCAATAACAAGGGCAAATGAAGCACTCACGTACTTCAACTTATAGCAACAAAAACGTGTTGCCTTCCTGATTATTTTAATTTACAATCGTCAGAACTCATACATAATTGTACGATTAGTAGACTGTAAAATGAAGTTCAATAGTTAATAAAGTTGTTAGACGTAGGAATATTTTTTACAGATTTTTAATTTTGCAAAGTGTATTTTGACATTTCGCTATCTTTATTATACTTTACGTTACATTAGTAAATGATTCAATTCATTCATAAAACAGTTTACTTGTTATTTATTGTATTTTAACAACACTCATTTTATGGTCACGTACCTACCAATAGAATTGCAACACTACTATAATTGAATTTCTTGAAATTAGACCTCATTTTACTAGAGCAATAAAAAAATCTTTGTACGTAATTTAAAAATGGGTAAATCCGGCATTAAAGTCGTTGCAAAATTTTAAAGAACAACAAAAAGGCATTTCGCAATAGCAATAACAAAAAATAATTACTTATTCTACGCATGAAAACTGTGCAAACTCGATAAATTTGTATTAGACGCAAGTCAGTAAATATTTCAGTTTTGTCACAACATTTTGTTGTTTCTACAATAATAAAAAAAAAGAAAATCAGTTTCAGCTTCTCGCTTATTTCACGATTGTTCAAGAAAACAAAAAATACATACACAAACACCTTGTGCCGTTACACAAAAAAGACAGAGATATCGCAACTAACGAACTAACCATAATAATGGTAATAATAATGGCACCTCTGCAGACGATTTCTTCTGCTTGATGATCGTTACAAACACATTTTGTAACGGTTTTAACAGAACTATTTCACTTAATTCACGTACGGCGATGTCAAAACAATATAGAAAATTATGAACAGGTCAGACCATCCGTCATTGGATTCAAACTAAAATTTCCTGAATGATTAACGGATTTAAACTAACGGTTACAATGACAGAGTATTCCTTTTATTTACCACGTCTTTTCAATAACAAATTTTAAATGAAATGTAAATAATACGGTACTCCATATTCAGACGTAGAGAAAACAGACGTACTATATACAGGGTGTTTGAAAGGGAAACTAATAAAAATTAAATACACATAAATCAGGAAGAATAAAAAAGATGTGGCATCTGTCGGGAATTGAGACCGAGACTGCCTGTACGGCAGCCGAGAATCTATACCACTGATCTATTAACGGAGCGCGGCACTGTATGGGTGCGAAACATGGACGGTGGGCGCGGCGGAATAGAAAAGGTTAGAAATGTTCAAAATGTGGTGTTACAGCCGAATGATGGGGATACCGTGGATAGAGAAGGTTAGAAATGAAGAGGTATTAGAAAGAATAGGAAACAGAGGACTCTATGGAAGTCAATAAGAAATAGGCGAGATTGGTTGGTAGGACACCTTCTCAGGCACGAAGGCCTAGTCAGAGATATATTAAGAGGCAGAAACAGGAGTTAGGAGAAGTAGAGATAGACCTAGATTAAATTACGGTTTACAAATAGCTAAGGATGTGGGATATTCTCCTTTTATGGAAATGCGAAGATTAGCGCAGGATAGGAAAGAGTGGAGGTGCGTAGAAGTCTTAGGATTGACGACCTTGTGATGATGAAGGAACTTGACTAATTTTTGGTAAGAAGTCTGCTGGGACTGGTACATGTGGATATCAATTTCAAACTGGTTTGTTTTCATTAGTAGTTTTAACAACTGCTTTTCCATTTCTACTAGCTACTGATTGTGATTGGCAAGCAGTAGGCACCTCTGATCTGCAGTCAAATTGTGGGAATGGGTTGGTGTTGATTGGGAAGAAACGGTTGAAGCGAATGAAATGAAGACAGAAGAGCAGTAGATGGAATGTTGCCACCTCAAAATTTGACCAAATGATCCAAGAAAATCACAAAAAGCTTACTTTACCTTTTGCTGATTGAAAAGTAAATTATAAAAGCTTTACTGATTTTCCTCTGCTGTATTTGAGAACAAAATTATGACGATAGAGTCCATAATTCAAACTCACTAAATAATTGAAATATTGAAAACGATAATTATCAAGCCCACAGACGAAAATAATTGTGGTTATGAGTAATTCAAACATAAAATAATAATAATAATAATTTAAAAAGTACTTCATTATTCTTTGTTTTATGGTAAGATATTCAATTGGAATTTTTATGTTGGTCATAAACCGTAATTAAAACATTAATTACAATGTTCCTGCCATTGAATGAACCATAAACGTTCCTAATAATTTTAAGTACAGCAATGCCAAACACTAGAAAAGGATTTAAGAGTTGTTACATTTGTAAAAATTATTCATTTAGTAAGCTCTTATATCTTCTAATCCTTTGCAAAGTTATAAATTTTTTAATCGTAAAATATATTACATTAACCAATAAACACACGTGTTTATTATCTTTAATGCATCAATTGATTTATGTTCATTTTAAGCACAATTCTGGAAATACTATTTCAAGTTACCTTTAATCCATTTCTTTGGGCTTCCGATCCCAGTTCGACATTGGACACAAAAAATCCAGTGCCAAACTCTCTGCCACCGCGAATGCTAAATCCCAGAGTAGGTCCATGTTTCGCTGTTAATCCGGGAGGAGGTAAATTAACTACGTTCGGACGTACCAAACGTACAGTTCTAATCCTCGGTTGCACGCTGGTCACGCTGCCCGAAAGGGTGTCCGAACTTATGGTAGACGATGCATATTGAGATGTATAATCCACCATGGTCAACATGGCACTGAAACAATTAACAACACTTCAATAACACAGGCCAACGACGAAAAAACTTTTTTAATAATTTTAACTAATTTCTATGTAATTTGGTGTGCTGATTCCGAAAAAAATAACGAAAAAGTCGTATCACCCTCCATTTTCTCACATTTCAATATTAAATAAAAGTAAATTTTATTAACCAAAATGTATAACAAATATTTTTAACCGTTAAAATATTTTTATGTTGGCAATATTTTCTAGTGTTATAGTGTTGACAATAATATAAAATGTAATCAGGTTGGTAGTTCTGATAAGTTGCGCATTTTTTTGTTTCCTTAGCCTTTAAGAAAAAATTTGACACCCGGCCAGAAGAATATTTTGCATACAACTTTGGTTGACCCCAAAAAGATTCTTTTACCACCACTACACATTAAGTTGGGTTTAATGAAACAATTTGTAAAAGCTTTGCCTAAAGATGGTGATTGTTTTAAATATTTATGTAGAAAATTTCTTCATTTATCAGAAGCTAAACTGAAAGAAGGGATTTTCGTTGGGCCTGATATTCGTAAATTGATGCTCGATACCAACTTCGAAGCAACGATGAGTACAAAGGAAAAAGAGGCTTGGATATCATTTAGAGAAGTTGTGACGAAGTTTTTGGACAACGTAAAAGATCCTAACTATGAACTTATCATATCTAACGTGATAAACTATTTTAAAAATAATGGTTGTCTGATGAGCCTTAAAGTCCACTTTTTGCACAACCATCTTGACTTTTTTCCTACAAACTTAGGTGATGTCAGTGAAGAGCAAGGGGAACAGTTTCATCAGGACATCAAAGAAATGGAGAAACGATGCCAAGGAAGGTGGAATGTAAACATGATGGATGATTACTGTTGGACACTTCACAGAGAGCAACAAAATGCTTCGCATCGGAGAAAAAGCTATGCAAGAAACTTTACAGAGAGAAGAGAGAGAAAATACATAAAAACATATATCTAATATTTACTAATCCATTATTTGTAAGAGAAAATTGTAACTTTATTAAGAACTAAATTTTTTAATTTTTAATTATCAAATTTTTCCCCATTTTTTGAAATATACAATTATACAGTACACAATGTCATTTTGTGAGAAAATTGTGGGTGATTAAAAAAAACATATCGAATACGATTTCAGCACTAAAAAATACATAAGATTTAGGTAAATTAGTTTAAAAAGTTTTTGCAAACATTTTTTTTGTTGGCCTATGTAATCAATTATAATGTTCGTTAATAATAACATCGATGATTTAATTTTAAATAAATTTTCTCTTACTGTAAGTACCTACTTGTAGACAATTGTCCTATTCAAACTTCGTTCGTTCGCAAAAACAATTGCGGTCAGGTCGTAAGTAACAAGTGCAATCGGTCAATCGGTGCACTGACCAAAACTTAAACAGCTAGTAAAATAAGTAAAACGACTAACAAGCAGTTGCGGAAAGTTTGGCAATAGTCAGTAACTAATAAGTAAGGACACTGCTTTCTACGATTCGATTTATTTTACGCGACACCGTAAGAAATTAGAGAAAAACGCACTGGGGGTTTTGATAACGTAAACGAAAAACCTACACGCCAGAACACAACCTTTGTACAACTGTAACAATGAATGTTGACGTTAAAGTAAAATTTATTTTCCCAATAATCACCGTACAAAGTTAATTTGGTTTTGGCTTAATCGTTATTTTTAAATTGGTTTTTAAATCGTAAAATAAAATGGCCACTAAAGTGGGCGCCTTAGTTTACAAGATGGACTATATTGCCGCTTTATTTTTATTTATGTTTAGTTTTTGTACCTACCTAGGTACCTACATGATATCATAATGAAACTTCTCGATAATTATTATCTAGAACTTATAGCACACACATTACAAAATCGCAGCATGATTCACATGAGAATTTAGAGCTCTAATTAAAATTTTAGTGCCCCGTTCCTTTATAGCTGTGCTCGCATCCAGCAAAGAGGAGTTGGAGATAGCCTTAAAAAGAATGGAAGTGGTGTTAACAAAACATTATGGTAAAAAGTAAGGAAAGAGCGAATATAAAGTTAGGAGACAAAAAATTACAAGAAGTGGCTGATTTTCGGTGTCCAAGAAGTCAGATAAATCAGGACGAAAGGATCAATAGAGATATAAAACAAAGGATACCGTAGGGTAGAGTCACCTTTTGCACCCACAGTGGGCGTGGCGGAAAAGAAGAACGATAGAGAAAGAAAAGAAAGCGTTCATAGCATAGCGTAGATTTAGAAAAGGTTTTTGACAATGTTAAATTTAGTCAAGATGTTAAATATATTTAAAAATGTAGGGATGAGTTACAGTGATAAGAGAGTGATACTTAGTTTGTATAAAAAGCAACAGACAGTTATAGAACTGGGGCAGCAACGTAGAGAAGTAAATATGAGGAAGCGAGTCAGACAAGGATGCACACAGTCACTGCTACTTTTTTATTTATCCATCGAAGACGCGATCAACATCATTAAAGACAGTACAACTGTAGGGATAGATGTAGAGGAGGCAAACGATTAGTATGATTAGATTTGTAGATGATGTAGCAGTATTGGCATCTAGCAAAGAGGAGTTAGAGATATCTTTAAGTAAAATGGAAGTGGTATTGACAAAACATTATGGTATGAAAATTGAATGAAAGTAAAACAAATATTTAGTACGCAAGGGAAAAAAAGTCGAGAAAGAGCGAATATAAAGAAAGGCGATGAAAAATTAAAAGAAGTGGCTGATTTTCGGTACAAAACAGAAGAGGTATTGACAAAATATTATGGTATGAAAATAAATAAAAGTAAAACAAAAATTTAATATGCAAGGGAAGCAAAAGTAAGGAAAGAGCGAATATAGTGGTTATTCGTCAGAGGTAGGAGACGAAAAATTAGAAGAAGTGGCTGATTTTCGGTATCTAGGAAGTCAGATAAATCAGGACGGAAGGAGCAGTAGATATATAAAACAAAGTGTAGGGTAAAGTCACCTTTTGTTAAACGTGGACAGTGAGCGCGGCGGAAAAGAAAAGATTAGAAGCATTAAAAATGGGATGTTACAAGTGAATGATGAGGATACCGTGTATAGAGAAGGTTAGAAATGAGAAGGTATTAGAATGAATAGGAGAACAGAGGACGCTAACGAAGGAGATAGCTTGGTAGGACACCTTCTTAGGCATAAAGAGATAATTAGAGACATATTAGAAGCAGAAACAGAAGGTAAAAGACGTAGAGGTAGATTTAGATTACATTACTGTTTACATATAGTTAAGGAGATGGGATGTTATAGTTTTAAGGAAATGCACAGATTAGCTTGAGATAAAAAAAAGAGTGGAGGTGCGTATCCAACTAGTCTTAGGACTGATGACCCTTTGATGATTTTAATGATGATGATCCTCAAATCCTTATGCGATAGAATTACTCAACGAATTGGTTTCCAAAAGTAAATGCGGTACAATTTAGTCTTCTCTAAGAACTATTGACAACATGCGTATAATTATATTTGAAATGAATTTTCACTAATTTTAGGAACATAAAAAGCATCAGATCAGTTATATGTATATCTTTTTATAATAGAAAGGAATGCATTTTTGAGCTAATAATTCTATAGGTCGCAATTTCTCAACAACCCAAAATTTTTGAAGTATTGGTTGACGTCGGCCAATCTTTTCAATGAGTTTTAATGACGAGCCGTAAACGTAGGTGAAACAGTATCTCGTAGCTATTGGAAAGTTAACTCAATATTACCAATTATACTACTGATAAAACCGTTGAGACACTTAACTATTAAAGAGTTGAAGCGCCCACATACGAATACGTACGAATATGTTTGTGTTTGTTTTCAAACACGTATAAATTCTTAGATAGCAGAAACTAGGAAATTTATTCGGTTAGGTAAACGAACAAGTTTAACTAGGTACTTATTGGTAAGTGTATATGCATAAGTATATGCGAGTTTATATGCCGCCAGACTTTGTTATCATCATCTTTATAAGGCTTTGGAGACAGGAAGTGAAAATGTGTAATATCGTTGTCATTTCCATACGACCTAAGACTGAAATGCAAATTTTCTCCTTCAAGGACTTTAAATTCATTCTGCTTTCTGCAAGACTATAACAAGACAGGCTACAATAACATTCTAATTGAATTAAATAATTAGCAGTGATACTTGTCTGCTATTTGTGAATTTTTCTGAGATAAATGTTAATCAATAGAACTTTAAAATAACACGAAAAGCCTTGCCAAAAACGCTAGAGTAAAAAAGAACTCACAGAAATAAAAGAAAGTCATTTGACACTCTACAAACACCTGACCAGAATTAAAAGCAGTCTGTGACCTTCCTGCTAAGTAAAAGAAAAAAATGAAGAAATAGTATCAGCAGAGCATCATCCGCCATTTTGAGTCCAACCAATAGAAATGAACGCGCCAAATCTTTGTCATCTCAGTGACCCAAACTCAATTGGATTTACAAGCTCCTTCAATTGAAATAACAATGCAAACTGAAGTTATCAAATGTATCTGATGTTTTAAATGCAGACATCTTTGTAGTGGACCAGCCAGGACGAACATACTGTGTATCCATGTCTATGACCTGTTCGCAAAATGGCGGACGATAATACTCTTGTACTGAAGGCTTTACTTATTATTAGAAAAAGGTTAGAAGCGTTAGAAATGTGGTATTAGAGGCGAATGATAAGGATACCGTGCACAGAGAAGGTTAGAAATTGAGAGGCATTAGAAAGAATAAGAACAGAGGACTCTACAGAAGTCAATAAAAAGTAGGCGAGATAGGTTGGTAGGACACCTTCTCAGGCATGTAGGTCTAGTCAGAGACATATTAGAGGCAGAAATATTAGAAATAGGTTGTTCTACTTAAGGGAAATGCGAAGATTAGCACAAGATACGAAAGAGTGGAGATGTGTGTCCAACCAGTCTTAGAACTGACGACCTTATGATGATGATAACCAACGTGAAAAGAAGAAATGGCATCTTCAATCTGAA